TTCCTGGCACTCATTTTTGCTTAGAGCTATCAAGTTAGCGTCAATCCCGTCAACGCTGTTCACTTGTAAAGACATAAGGACAACAACAAATTCATCATTAGCAAAAGGTTTTTAACATTCCCAGGAAGAATTGTAATTTTAAACTTTAGATGAATAGCGAATTAAATGTTTTCGACATTGTAAAGAGGTTTTAGAATAATTTACCCCTGCATTCAAATGACATTGTTTTTAGAAAAATTTATAGGACAAACTGCATGAGGCCTCGATCAGGTTAAATTAACTATTTGATAGCGGTAATTGGTACAACTGTTATATTTGTTGAAAGGTCTTATAAATTAGTTCATATTTGTTAGTTGTAATCTTGGGCCGCGTTGCCCCCCATCCTTTAACAAAACTCGAGTAAAAAAGATAAGATTATAAATATGCTTTCCCATTTACAAATATAATCTCATTGGCCTCTCCCCTGATWATTATGGTGCAGTCCCTTTTATAACAAAGTTTTCAAAAAAAAATTTTAACGTTTATTTAAAGTAGTTTTGGTTTTATACATTTTAAACACTCGTGAAAAATTACAGAGCCAAAATCATTTCAAATGCTTGTAACACACAAAAACGAGATCGGTCAATTCTAACTTTCTCTCATAATTTTGTAATTTCAAACTTACGTTTCCTCAGAAATTTTAGAATTYTAACCATTTTGTTCAGTACGCTCTCGAGTTGAAGCACTTGATACCATAGTCACGCCCTTTTCATTTTTTGTCTACACAAAAATATACAGCCATATGCATACCGTTTTTTTTTTATAAAGAATAAAGAAAGCGACACAGATCTAACTCGTGCTTTCCTGTGAAAATCAAATGACATGTTGTAGCTTTTAKCACTACTTCTCAAGGTTCTCCAAAAGCGTAACCAGTCAGAACGTAGACTGTAATTGCTGTTTCTATTAATATTTTGAAATGACAAAATTCAAGGCAAAACAAAGAGAACATCGAATTCAAGTAAAAAATAAACTAATGATAGAAATAACAAAAAGAGTTGTCAAAACTTTTACCTTCCAGTCGTGTACTAACTGTACCTGTCGCTTCTTTCAACTAGCAAGTGCCAAACTCGGTGAGAATGTCCCGCATTTATTAAGAAGAGGAGAAAAACGGCAGGTGTAAGATAGAAACACACAGTTTTAATATTTAAATAAATGCATTTTATCATAAAATCAATTTCGAAAACGCCACCCAATCCAAGTTGAAAAAAGAAAAAAACGAGACATTTGTATAACACTCTTGTTAAAACTTGCCAAAGAAATTCAGTGTCAACTCCAGATAGATTGAAACTAATTATGCGACATCTGCATTGTGTAATTACAATTGTCATCAATTTATAATGGAATATCCCTGACGAATCCAGCATTATTCGATTGCTAGCGTTATGGGTAATACAGTGGTTTTTATCGAATTTATTTAAGGATCAAAAAGTTCTTTTTGGACTTTGTGAAACGGATATAAGAATGTATTGTTATGAACCTGTAGTTAATGTTCGCGTTGCAGGTGCGTGACTGAGGACATATTATGATTAAGACTATGGTCATTCAATATGATTAAAGAAGAGGTGTTTTGGCGACTTTTGCCCGTTGTTTGTATTCCCCTAAGGTTTTTGATCTTTGTTTTCTTTGTTAACTGAACTGTTTATGCGTCAAATGCGTCAAACAGGCACACGATCGAGACCACCTGAATGTTTTTGCTTTAGATTCATTTAACAATAAAAACTGTTTTATATTGACAAACTTTTTGCAGTTGTCATCAATGTGACTACGAAACAGAAATGAGCAGGTCGCGAAATTGGGTTYAAGTTAGATGGCATCCATCACAGTTTAATTTGCCAAAATCCGCGACGTCATGACTTTATTTTCAAATTATGGAAGGAAGAAAAGGCAATATATACTCGTCTTGATTCTTTGCGCTGTTATTTTATTGAATTTTTATTTATTTTATGTTCAACATCTCTTAGCTCTCAGTTATCATTTTTCATTTAAAGACTACTGTAAACAAGATTGTTTGTAAACTTTATCTTTAAGATAATAATTAAATACTACGACACTTGCTGGATAAACCAGCTGTTGTTTCCAAATATATAGACCACTCTTTCTCGAGGACTCTAAAATTGCTAGCGTTATAGGTAATACAATGGTTTTTATCGAGACTTTATTTAAGGAACAAAAATTTCTTTTTGGACTTCGTGAAACGGATATAAGAATGTAGTGTTATAAAGCTGTAGTTGATATTCACCARAGTCACGTGACTCTTGTGACTTTTCGTCTTCAAACATCGGAAAATAATCCGAAACAACACACGCTAAGGACTA